CCTCATCGCTCGGCTTTTTACAAATATTTCGCTCCTTTCTGCATTCATCCCCTTCTTCCTCCCTCTTTCACAGGCACGTAGAGAGCTGAAATGCTTGAAGGAGGAAGCCAGGCGTAAGCACGCCGTCGCTGTCATTTGGGCCTACTGGTTGGGACTAAAGGTATCTTCCAACCATTTGCCAGGCGTTAGAGTGATTCGGAAATGAGTAGGAAGCGTGCATATAACTAGCCTCTGTGTTGCATAACCAGCTGCTCTGCTATGAACTAACAATATAATCTAACCCCAGAGTTCGGTTCCACAGGTCCATTAGCATCCAAGGCAGTGACGCACATTAGTGTTGTCATAAGCGTGGGCAAAGTGTTAAAACATGCCACGAGGATTTAGATACTGGATGTGGCTTCCTCTGCAGAGTTTGGAGGCAGATGCTTTACTTTCTGTATTCCTAAAGACTGGCGCTGGGCAAAATAGCTGTTCCCATGACAGTGCGCAGGCTGCCTGATGATATGTCTGTTTGTCAGGGCCTGTTCTAAGGTCAGTGGGTGTTTTGGGTGTTTTAGGGTCCCGTACACATCAGTGTATATGTATGGGTCCTTTTTTGAGATTTTATTTGTAATTTATAATACTGATAATTCTGATCATTGATTCTGATTGGTCAATGATAATTATAAAACAATAATATTTAAATTTCACAATCCCAATGACTGTTCTTTGTGGCTAACATTTTTATGAATTTAGTGATATATTTTATATTATTTCTATTTGTTTTACTCACAAATAGCAATTTATGTCTGACAAAATAGTATAGACCTTGACTAAATTATATATATAAAGTTTTAAATTCATAATTAAAAGAATACATAGCTTTTATTAATTTCCATGACTTTTCCGGATCTAGAAACCACACTTATAAATTACTTCAAACAGTAGATCCAGGTTGTCCAAGATCATTAAATATTCTGGTTCTTAAAAATGACAATTGTTAATGGATGAATTAAAATAATAATAAATACAATTTCATTTTACATTATATTATGATGTATGATGTGATTTGATGTTTAGCTGGTTTTAAACCTTGTTTTGTCTTATTTTAACATCTACATATAAAGTAATGTACTATTTAAAAAATAATAATAATCCAAATTGATTCACCTGGTGTTTTTATTCAGTACTTATTACTTCTAAATAGAGGGACACTTTGACCAAATCAACAGTTTCTGCATAACAGACCATTATGACATGATTTAAGAGAGCTTGCCACTTGCAAAATTAGCTACAGGATAAGCCAGTCATTATACCAAAAGTCTGCCTTGCGAGATGACATTTGAATTACAGAGCAGAATTGCATGAATTTATTAATGACTAAAACTTTGCTCTAGTAGCCCAACCCTAGGACAGCCATGTTTTCTAACGGTTTCTGTGTGCCTGTCCTGTCTGCTGTCTGCATGCTGTTCCTAACATTCTGTTGGCTTTTACAGACATTAAAGGCCTTTGTTGTGTTTCGTTTCTACTGTTGTTTTTGTTGTTATTTTGTAAGTGTTTTTTTGCTGCTGTTACTGTTTTGTTTTTTTCTTGTAGGGATCTTAGGGGTGACTTCTTGAACCTGATTTTACAGGTTCTGTAAAGATAACTGTGTGCTGTATGACTGTGGATCTCTCATTGTTTTGATCACAGCATCAGTTCTCTTTTGTCTTTGCTTTTTAGTGTGCTGCTCTTTAGGGGTTAAGACCCTACTTGTCACAAACCACTTGTCTGTCCTGACAGTGTCCTGTCCCATTCCTGCTGTCATCACAAAGCACTTTCAATACAAAGAAGTGACTAATTGAACCCACTTTTTCACAGGTCCGTCGGGAATACAGGAAGTTCTTCAGAGCTAATGCTGGCAAGAAAATCTATGACTTCACCATCCAGAGAATTGTAAGTCACTTAAGTAGCTGAGTTACATACTCATTTTTGCTTGTCACCTAGTCATCCAGAAAAGTATTCTTACTTGTTGGTGGGTCACTGTTTACCTTATGAATTACCACAAGCCGTGCAGCATCAGGCAAGTCCATTTGATGAAGAGCATTGTTTGCTTATTGCATACTTTGTAAAGCCCAAAGTGCTCCTGTTTCACTTTTTCACTTTCATTCCAAATATCTTCAGCCGTAACAACTATACCAAGCTAATGACACAGCTGAAAGAGAAATTTTCCCACTGCTAAGTCCATGTAGACAACAAGTACAAATTAAAGGCAGGGTAGGTGATTTGGTTCAAAAACATGTTTTGTTATGCTGGTTGAAAGTCTCTTCACATCACAATAGCAATCACTAAGTTAAGTGGTCTAAATGTATTTACTTGTATTTATATCATCTGTGGAAGGCGTAGGACCATAAAAGGTTCATCCAATCATATGCATTGGTCCGAGGGCTACGATAGGCTGTCCTACCTGCCTGTCAACATATGTATTTGCGCTAATATATGATACATCATCAGCACATTCTATTACACTATTGCAGACTGAGAGAGAATGGAAGGCGTTATTATTGTAATTTCATGCACTTTGTATTGTAAAGTTTTCTCAATGGTGAATGAGACATGAGGTAATCTGACAGGTTTGCATTCAACCCTCCACCAACACCATATCTCGTCGTGTCACTGGTTAGTCTCTGGTCTGCCTGTGCGCGTTCATGTGTTTTGGAGGCGGCATGGCTTTGGAGAGTGATTTGCAGGGAGGGTGGGATCTTATGCTTTCAAAGCTAGCTTGCTATTGCTAGCCTCTCCGAAATCATCTACCCTACCTTTAAGTCATGTATTTTGCATCTAGTTGACTTCACATGACCCAATACATTGATTAGTGTAATATATAACCAATCAATAACCAACTAGTTGGTGCTACCCCTAGGAAATGATTTCTGACACGTTCTCTATATATTGTCATTCTTCCGAGAAGAAAGAAAATACTCCCATAAGGGACTGATATGAGTGTTTGTCTACAGATACAGAAGTACTTCCTGGGCTTGAAGAAGACGATGCCTTCCATGTCACCGATTGATAAGAGCTGGCCAGCTCGCCCCTACGGTTTCCTGGACAGGACACATCAAGAGCTCAGGAGAATTTTCCATCTGTGGAGGGTTTGTGACAGATCTATCTGAAATTAACTGTTAAGACTTTTGTCATGTCTGATTTTAAATTAATCTATCCTTATGGCGTCCTTCAATCAGTGTAAGAAATACCGCAGCCAGTTCACAGAAGAGAAGAAGGCTACCTACAAGGAGAAGCTTGCGGCTAGTGAACTCTTCAAAGATAAGAAGGCCTTGTATCCTAGCAGGTAGAGAAATAAGTTGTTTACCTAATATTCCTAAGCAGTTCCTTTATACACATTTCCTGTGTAAAGCTTTTTATTGCCATAACATACATCCTCTGCTTTACAGTGTGGGGCAGCCTTTCAAAGGAGACTATGTGGAGATAACAAAAAACCCAAAGTACCAGAAGCTGAACAGCTTTGCAGAGGATAAAGTTCTGCTTGCAGATGTGGTCAGCAAAATCAACCGTGCCAATGGCAAGGTGAGTACAATTAACTCTGTGCTAGTAGAATTGACATTACAACAGAGAGGCTAGTGAATGGAGTTTTTTTTGTTCCATTCCCAAAACCAGCAAGTAATATTGAAAAAAATGCAAGCACTGGATCAGACTATGTGGTAGACTGCATGAACAACTAAACTTGCAAATTTTGATTGATCATCCAAAAGCAAAACATCTCTACATTTACATCGTAAAGGTTCAGCCTAATCTTAGACCACTTATTCATTTTTAGGGAGCTCCAAGAATTTTCCTCCTGACCAAGAAGAGCTTGGTTCTAGCTGATCAGAAGACGGGCCAGGTGAAGGCCAGCGTTCCCCTGCTGGACCTCAGCAGTGTTTCTGTGAGCACGCAGAACGATGGCTTTTTCGCCCTCAAGCTCAAAGAGGTATGATATACAAACCCAATCCATTGCATTCTGTTTTTATTCACAATTTGTACAGTGTCCCAACTTTTTTGGAATCGTGTTTGTACAATAACTCATCTCAGGTAGGGCACCACGTGAGTTAGGACTACTATTGACCATGCTCTCTCTTTAGGGTTCTACGTCTGCAGCCAAAGGGGACTTCTTGCTGAGCAGTGATCGGCTGATTGAGATTATCACCAAACTTCATTGCATTGGTGCTACTTCAGCTGACAGAAACCAGATCAGTATCGATATTTCAGATGAGTAAGTGTCCAATATGTCTTGCGTCTTGTTTCTTCAGTATCACTCTTGTAGCTTAACTTACTCTCTCCCTTTCAGGTTCTTAGTGCAGTTCAAGCAGGACAAAGTGTGTGTAAAATTCATCCAGGGTACACCAAAGAATGGCAACGGTGTCGCCTGCAAGCGTAAAAACAACCGTCTTCTGGAAGTGTCCGTTCCATCACCATAAGGAGCGATCAGCTCGGCCTACTGAGTGGTGTCATCTCTGAGATTCTTCACCCTCCCCCAGTCTTGTAACGATTGTGCAATTATATTGATCCTGTCATTTTTGATTCTATATAGTCAAATCAGCAGGTTTCTGGCACCTAAATATTTTACTGCCTCCCTGTTTTTAATAGTGGGGTAAAAGTGCATCGTTCTCTCTTCCCAGTTTGTGGGACTCATGAGAACTAGTCTTTAATTTAAATGATGATAATAATAACAATAACCATTATGATTATAGTGAAATGCTTTGAGGCTGGCATTGGCGAAGATTCGCTTGGTGGATCTCACCTCATGCTCTGCTCAGCAATAGCCATGTGCTTGAACCATTGTGTTTGCGTGAGCCTCTTGCTGAGAGAAACTTTGTAAATAGAGATGCTGATAGGGTTTTGTTGGGCTCCTAGAAGGATGCTGAAAAGCTACAAAATTTAAGATTGCACTTTTTCACTAGGGTGGTGGTCAGGAAAAATTAGTTGGTTGGTTCGTTTGTTTGTGTTTATTTTTCTGTTCTATTCTCATCTTGTGTTTCTAGCGCAGAACAGTCATTTATGGAGGGGGGGGGACTCGTCTGACTTTTGCCAAATGATAAGGCAATTTTACAATCCAAAACCTTGTGCCATTTAGCTGTTCCTCCTCAGGAGAAAGATGTTATCTTGTATACATTATAGTGCAGACACTTTGTTATTTATAAGCCAAATAATAATGATTCTGTTCAGTTTCATGATAAATGCCAAACAATATCATTTTAAATCCTGCTTTTTCACATGTTTGCTTTATTCTTTACATACATTAAATCAGGGTATTATCATGAAAACCACTTGTCACGGAAATGCGATGCACTATACCTGCATTGTTCGTATATATTCATGCAGGGCATCATTTTATTCATGTGGCCAAAATACTGACCCTGCGTTTATAATGGAATTTCCAATGCTGTAAAGATCTCCACTAAAAAGATCTCCACAGCAATTATGCTTATGTGGAAATGCCTCCATATAGCATGAAGACTTGATTCTCACATCTGGGTTGACTTGGACCAGTAGTCAAGACAGCTGGTGAACGCTTGTTTCAGAAGGCCTTACAGAAGAAAAACTGATGCTAATAACCTGAATGCTAAAGCCCTGGCTGGTACGATCTTTGCTAAGTCCGCTTCAGTCAGTCCCTTTACTTAAAGCTGCATGTACATGAGCTGTAGAATTTGTGTGAACCTTGTATAGAAGGAGGCTAATAGTAGGTGGTATGTTGACCTATAGCTGTATTTTGGCAAAATCTATATGCTTTTTTGCCACTGGAATGTGGGCTGCATCATTTTATTTTTGGCTCACTCACATCTGCTAATAATAAATGCAGTGTTTTTCTTAACGTCTGACCCACATCATGGTATTTTTTTTTTTTTTAAGGAGTGCAAACAGCCATGCATTCTTTGGACGCAAGGCACACAATACGCTCTGATTAAGTATATGTTGTTTACCAAGATTGTGGATTATGCTTTTTTTCAGTCATATTTAATGTGATATTTTCTCACGTTTAGTGGACATTTTGTCCTCCAGATCTGCTGAAGACAATGCCCGCCAAAGTAACTTCTCTACTTCTGCTTCAGTTCCACAATGCTTTTTGTTGTTTTTGTAATTTTACAGTAAAGGCATAACAAGAGTTGAGGGGAGTGGATTATCATCTTCAGTATGGGACATTTGTGGAAGCTGAATTACTTTATGATCTAGAATTCTGCATAGTGTCCGCCTTTCCTGCAGTAAGCCCTAGATTTACCACCTCCTCTTCCATGTCAAGAGTTTAAATTGAAAGAGAAGAAAATAATTGTTGTATGCATTGTTGTGTGCCTAAACCTGTTCTGAAAGACAGAAAACGTGTTTCATTAACTACTAAGTGTAACAAATGACAAGTAATCATTTTTTAAATTAAAGCAAGAAATAAATGACTTTGGATAAGCAGTGTGGTTTGGTGTTTTGATATTTTCGTGAAGTAAGAATGAATCAATTTGTTCAAAATTGTTTTTGTTTGTAAATCAGCACTAAACTTTGCACATTTCTCAATGTTAATGTACCCTAGTAGCCATTTAATGCAGTATTCCCCGGATTGGGCAATATACCCAGATTTGTATTTATTTATCTATCACTTAATGAGTTTAAATTTAAATGCAAAGTTAGCTACAAACCTATTACATCATTTTGTGGGATTATTATGGGGGATTATGTCTATTAAATAGTACAAATTTAGACACATTGGTTATTATTAAAAAATTTGTAAAACATGTATTAAAACTTACATACATTAATGTCATTCAATTTTAGTTTTCCTATCTTAAATTACTAATTGTGCATATGTTTATCACCTTAATACAAATTCAGTGGAAACTCAGGAATTCTGTTTGCACTTGCAGTTTACAAGGCATTCTTAATGCAGTTGGTGCATGGCCGTGCAGAACACACATATTTGCCAAATCGACTTGCATAACTCAATCATTTCTGTTTGAGAGTAGTTTCTATAAACACATATTTTAGCAGAAAAGTACAAATAATTGTAAAAGAGAGAGAACCCCCTTGCCTGTGTGCAGCTCAGACCAGATGTTTTCCATTACATCTGGAGAGTTGTCCCGGGTTGAATTCCGTGGCTTGAGGAGACTGCTGGTGGCAGGTCTCTGTGGAGAAGGCCTTGACAGATTGTGGATGTAGTGTTTAAAAATAGCACTCAACTGCAGAGCTACCCTCCCAAAGTTCCCACAATTGTGCAGGCTGGGAACACAGTGGAGGGCAAAACCCCCTCAACAGGCCATCCCATAGACACACCCAGAAGAGCTTGTTAACTCAGCCCCTAAAAATCCTGTGATCCAATTGTGCTCTGTTAATTTAATTCATTATGCAATAGACCTGCAGTAGTATTGTTTAATCTTAGTAGTCACCAAATACATTTTATGAAAGAGCAGCCCCCAATATAACCAACTCCCAAAGTCCACCCCTAGTATTTTTCACAGTGTCTGTTAATTTTATTGATGGCCGTGACTACAGCTAAAATAACTGATGATGTATGATCATTGCACTATTTACATGACTAAGCTCACCTGTGTTCTGTGTTTTTTCTTCAGCGTTGAACATAAAATTAGAGAAGCTTCAACTGTAATGTTTGTGAATAAAAAACAGTCAAGCCGCTTTAAAATAGAGATCAATATGAGCTGCACTGGCCTTTGGCGCCCTCTTGTGTATAAATTATAGATGCTGCAATATATTAAGGCACCCAAATAGCTGGGGACCCCAATAATAATCACCAACTCCTCCCCAGCAACAGCCCTGATTATCTACGATAAGATGTCAACAAGAACCTTCTGTTTTGAATTAATTTGATCCACAGCAAGGCTTCGGACTACTTTCCCCATCACCAAGCAGTGCTTTTTTTTTTTTTTAAGGTCAAGTGACAGTCTCTGTGTGCACTGGAATCCATTTCGGTCCATAGATGATCCTATTGTTTTCAGAAAATCACTTGATCATTGTCAAATATAGCCTCACTTTCTGTTCAGCTGCTTTCGGAACTTAACTTCAAGTAAGTTGTCACTGTTTAGTTGGTTAAATTGTGAGGAATAGGAAATAGGTAATGTTAATAGGTAGCAAATAAAAGTTATTACGAACACTCTATGGTGTTATGAAGTGAGTGTTAAGCAAAAAAAGCATTGTCATGTAGCTTGATGCAAATTGTAGCTACAATGCACCTGTTACATTTCATGTATTTTTCAAAATAATTCAAGTCAATTTGATATATTTTTTAACTTGGTGTCCTCATTAAAAAAAACAATATAAATACAATCAAAAGCAAACTGAAGTAAACTACTGTTAATGACGTATGATTCAGTAAAACTGTGTTCTCACTCACTTTCCTGACAAGCGGGACTGACGCAGTGCAAGCAGAGAGAATGTATATATATATATATACAGTATATTTATATATAGATAGATAGTTCAGCAGAAATGTATTCAACAGTCAGTGCTTGTTGTTAATAGGCTAAGTCTGCATGTCTCTATGTAAATGAATGGTGTAGTTTCGTCTCATACACACGTGACGCTCACTGTGATTTCAGGGTCTGCATCTCAATATGTGAGAACATGAACGCATGAACTTCATCTCCAGAGCTACACTGAGAGTTACTTCACAAGCTCTTCACCGTTTCATTTGAGAAAAATTGCCATCAAATAAACACTCTGAAACTGAAAGTATAACTGAAAGACATTCACAATAACACATCAAAATAAAATTTAGTGCAGAAGGGGTAAAAGAAGAAGAAAAACTGGTGTTACTGAAGCAAATAAAAGCAAGAGTAGGAGAAAAGGACAAAAAGCAGTGTGACGAAGATATAAGAGAAGAAGAGATAAAAACAGCAATAAGTGGATTAAACAAAAGGAAAAGTCCAGGTATAGATGGTTTGGGTAGTGAATTTTATATCGTTTTTAAAGAATTTTTAACCAGCATCTTAAAAGAAGTATATGAAGAGATTTTTAAGAAAGGAGAGATGAATCAAAGAATGGGAATGGGTTTGATGAAGTTGATTTACAAAAGAAAAGGACATAAAGTAGACCTAAAGAATTACAGACCAATTACAATGCTCAATACTGATTTAAAGATTTTATCAAAAATTTTAGCCAACAGATTAAAAGAAATAATGCCGAGTATAATTAAAACAAACCAGGTATATGGTGTTAAAGGAAGAGATATCGCAGATACAACAATCAGCATAAAAGATATGATAAGGTATATAAATGAAAAGAACAAGAATGGTTTTTTAATTAGTTTGGATTTTGAAAAAGCATTTGACAGAGTAGAACATGATTTTTTATTTGGGGTTTTAAAGAGTTTTGGGTTTGGAGAGAATTTTATTAAATGGATCAGAATTTTATATAAAGGGGCAGTAACGAAAATTAAATGTAATGGGTTTTTAACACATGTTTTTAAAATAACGAGATCGATAAGGCAAGGATGTCCACTATCAGCTCTTTTATATTCTTTAATTTCTGAACCATTAGGTCTGGCTATAAAACATGAAGAGGGAATAAAAGGAATAGGTGTTGAGGGAGAAGAGAATAAAATATTTCAGTACGCGGATGACACAACAGTGATGGTAAAGGATTTGAAGAGTGTTAAAAAAGCAATGGAAATTGTACAGATGTTTTGTAAGGGATCAGGAGCTAAAGTAAATGAAGAGAAAACAGTGTATATGAGATTTGGAGGAGCGACAGATTTAACAGAGCATTTTACTTTTAAGGAAATGAGAGAAATAAAGATTTTAGGTGTTTTAATGGGGAGGGATGAAAAGAAAGCTGAAGAAATAATGTGGGAGGAACTCTTAGGCGGGATTGAAAGAAGACTAAATTTTTGGAAACTGAGAACTTTAACTCTAAAAGGGAAGGTCTTAGTTCTTAATGTTTTAATGGTGTCTAAATTGTGGTATATTTTATATGGGTCATCTATGCCGATGTGGGCAGAAAAAAGGTTGAAAAAATGTTTTTTAGATTTTTTATGGAAAGGGAAGCCGGCAAGAATCGCATACAACACGTTAATAGGAGCAGAGGGGGAAGGGGGTTTGGGTTTAATGGATATTGAGCAAAGGAAGAACAGCCTAAGAGTGAAAATAATAAAAATGTACTTGGATGAAGAAAACAAAGTAGAATGGAAAAAAACAATGGAGTATTTTTTAAGTAAGTGTGGTAATTTTAATTTAGGGGATAATATACTGTGGATGAGGACAAAGAAATGGATGACGGAGGGAGTGCCAGATTTTTATAAAGAATTGATGAGCGCGTGGGGAAAATTTTTAACTTGTGTGTATTTTAATCCACAAGGTAGAGAGAACATTTTAAATCAACCTCTTTTTTTAAACAACGGCATTTTAAACCAAGGGAAGGGAATCTTTTATAAGAAATGGTGGGATGTAGGGATAACAAAAGTAAGGGATGTTTTATATGAGTTTAAAGAAGGGTTTTTACCAATACAATACATTGTGGATGTCATGGAAGAGGCAAAGGAGGACTTTACCAGACAGGAATTAATAAACAAATATGATTTAATTAAGAAAGCAATACCTGAAGAATGGATTCAACGAATTGAAAATATGGAACAAACCAAACAAGGATGGGATATATATGTGAAAATGGGAGAAAATTTGTACGCTTTCAAAGAATGTGGTGTGAAAAGGTTTTATTGCTTTTTTAGAGATATTGTTTTTAAAAAAACCTGTTGTTAATCAATATTGGTTACATAGGTTCAGTGGGTTGAAAGAGGAGTGTATATGGGGAAATATAAAAGGGAAAATTATACAAACAAAATTAAGTAATCTGGAGTATTTTATCAGACACAAAGTGATTTTTACAGATGTTTTATTAAATAAAATTGGAATGGAACAAAGTGCAATGTGTAAAGTATGTTATAATGATGATG